CATTTCTTGAAATTGTGCCTCCTTTTCTCAAAACTGAAATCCACACAAATCCTTATCGTCTTACCCAATTTCCCAAACTTCCTATTTTTAGGTCAAAATTAAACTCTCCACTCAAATCCAATCAATCTTGCTGAAAAACCAAAGTTTGCCCTGAGACATGACACACAAGCCCTCGAAAAACACACACATACACACTCCAACACAGCCAGAGAATCTCATCCTTCACCTCTTCTTCTCCCTACTTCTCCTCCTCCTCTCCGATGTCCTCGACCTCTTCCTTCCCGTCTCTCTTGATCCATTGTTCCAAAACTGAATGAACTGACTCGAGCCATTATATTTATCTACTGAATGTTGTGATTGGTGTGTTATCAATTATGACTCTTTGTGTTTTCACCTGGGTAGTTAAAGTAGCCAACTGAGCTCAAGCTTTGCTGACTTGAGTGAAAAATATTGAATGTTAGTGCTTTCTAAATGACCACATGTTGTAGGCAATGAGAAATGAAGGGATTTGTGCGTGAGACAGTTCAACTAATCTGAATCACGAGTCAAAACAGGGGAATAGTGTTTATAATTTAAGAAAGTTGGTGTTTTTTTGAGAAATTGAGAAATTTGAGAAATGGCAATTTGGTTTTGAAATTTTAGTTTAAAAGGCTGGTTATAGTGTTTAAGCAATAGAGAAAACTAATATTTGAGATAAATGAGCCATCTTTAATTTCACTGAATAAACTGAATAAACTTTCAAAAGCAATAGTTTCAATTTGGGAAACACGTTTATTTGCTCTCTTGCAGCAAATTACAAGAGAAGATCGATATTGCTCTCAGATCTGTATGGTAAATGTGAATGTTCCTTATTTGTATAGCGCCTATCTAGTCTTTTTGACCACTGAAAGCGCTTTTACACTACATCGCATTCACCATTCATACACTGAGCCTAAGTGCTCAAAAAGAAACTAACATTCACACACATTCATACACTGGCGGAACAGCCGCCATTTTTATAATTCAGTTTATGGATTGTGTAAGACTATACATTTCTTTAATTTAGATTTTTATTTTGTGGGGAGTGGAGCATCTTCCTGCAGGTGTACAGGTTTAATTGTTTACTGTTGGTTGGTGATCACATGATGTATTCTTGAGGTGATTCTTTTGCAGTGTCTATCTTTTGGAGTGCTGCCTTTTTTCTCTAACTTTGTTTTGGGAAATACAGACATTGTTTAAATTGCATTTTTGCCTTTATCGTAGAATTAACAGTAGAGCGTAACATGAAATCTTCAACACCAAACACACTCAAACCCCTTTTACCTATACTTTTCTGTTTGTTTGTTTGCCTTCATTTGTTTCTGCATTGTTAATGATGCTGTTATGCATCCTTTTGTCGTTTCTCTTGTCTCTTCTGCTGTAGACACAAAACATTTTTTAAATAACTCAGGTCAGTTACTTGTAATTGTGAATTGTGTGAAATTGTCTATACTAGTTCTAATATGACTAGTTTCGGGACCTCTATCAAAACAATACTTGTTTTAATGCCTCACTTAACAATGTAAAACAGTTTTTCTTGTATCTATTTAACAAAATAAGACTTTATGACACAAGACTTCTTGAATGCATCTCTGTTTGATTTTGTCTCAACACAAAGCAGCTGCAGAAGAACTTCGTTTAATAAAACAGTGCATAATTAGCAAAGTGAATTAGATTTAAGGAAGAAAAAAATTATTTGTAACATTTTTAAAATAATTTCACTTCTTCTAGTTGAACAAAGGGTAACTAATTAGTAATGAATTTGTACTGTGGGATATGTTGTCACTGCTGTTGTGATATGATGGAATGTCCTAAACTTAAGCTAATGCCTTATTAATGCTCTTAAATACATTCTGGCACACAGAATATAAGTCCAGTGTTTAAGCCTTAATTTACATTATTACATTAAGTGAGGGTTTCCTGTCATCTTTCCCACCGTTTGTGCTGTCTGCCCCACTTTCTCTGGGTGTATTAGCTGAGGGGGCAGTGGCACGGTGAGGATGGGGGAGGATTAATGTAAAGCACCAACACCAGGCCCTGATCTACAATTGGCAGGTGGCAGAGTTGTGATCTGTGTATTCAAACACACGCAGCTACCTATTGTAGTCCCTCCCTGCCTTGATCCAGGATTAACTATCAAACGAGCCTTTAATGCAGGTTACCAGGGTTTGGGAACAATTCACTAAAACAATCAGTTGATTAATTTCCTCCTATGCCAAGCAAATAATAATACTTTTTTGTTTTAACTCTGAAGTCCCCCACCCCTTTTTAATCAACAAATTAAGCATAAATCATGTTTGATCTTTATTTACTGGTTGCTCAGCAGTTGGTAGAGGTCAAGAGAGATTACTGGTCTCTCTAATAGCCAGCAAACAACCCAAACATTCCTCTATCCTTCTCATGAACACACACAACCTCCCATACTCTTTGTTTCCTGTGACAGAAGCTTTGGACAAAAAGGACAGATGCATAGAGCCGTCAATAAAATGTTTGTTCTTTCTCTAATATTACAAAAATGCTACTTTCCTCATGGATTTAATACCAAGACAAAAAAAGAAACAAATAAACAAAAGGATGTTCGAGCAGGTTCTAATGAGAAGCATATCGTTCTGTAAGCTTTACATAGTGAGATAATTTGGCATTGCGACAGAGTGGTATGATTTAGCTGACAATATTTTTCTCTCAGCAACCTCTCTGCCACCTCATAAATCTGATAACCAGTAACTCTGCTGCAGAGGTCCAATGTCTTCTCTATTCAGTCTTCTCCACGGCCGGAAAGTTGAAAAGGTCCTGATGGCCCGAAGGCACAAATTCAGGGTGTGCCGCTCTGACTGGCTAAAAAAAAAAAAGAAAAAAAAAAGAAGCTCCCTCTGAAACATTCTTTTGGATACCTGTATGTACTCTGTCTTTGCTCAAAAAGGCACATTTTTAAAGCACCATAGGATTTTAAGTAATTAAAATACACCTGATATCGCTAGATTACCGTCGTCCTGTCTTTGTTTGCTCCTTTACAAATGAGTCATGATAAAAAGATTGGATTATTTCCCTCTATGTGTTTTAATTCGAAAAGCTATAAAATCAGACAAAAGTGATAAATTAAAAGTCGACTCAAATTCAGCCATCCATTATCACTACCTGGCCAAAGATTTATGTTTCCGACTTTGGCTACTGAAAAATCTTGGCACGCAGGGATATCAATTTATATTTTAATGATAGATACATGACTGTAAATACGATATATCTTACAAAAGGACAAAAGCCTCCATCCATACATCAGTCCTCCTCTGCTGTGATTATCTTGATATGGCTCTAAATCATTAGTGAAGTGTTTCGTAGTTATCCCACTGTTAAGTCTTTTATGAACCATTCACCACAAATCCCCCCCTGCCTCCCAGCAGGCATTCAAAACAAAAGGGGCCACGCATGACCACAAAAGAGAAAGTCATTTGTGAAATGTCCTGATTATGTGGGTTGTGCAACGTAAAACAATTTGCCTGATTACTTCCAATTGATTCGGCCTTACAGTTAAAGCCTAAGTGTGCAGCCCGGTGAACTGCACTGTGTTGTGCCGCTGGGCAGGGAAGAGGAGTAATTTCTCCGATGTGCAGCTGAGCCAGCTTACTTCCAAAAGCCTCCTGCCATGCTGATAAACCTCGGCGAAGGCTAAACACTAGGCTAGCTACCAGCTAACTCTGTCTGCTAAAGCCCAGAGGGATTTGTCTGTGGCACAAAGTGAATTAAAAGTGACCTTCTGGAAGGGCTGGAGAGGATGGAGAGAGAAGAGAGAAGGGCTTCTTTGGGTTTCCATGTGTGCAGAGCAGTGACTTTCCTTTCATCCCCAACCTAATACCATGTAATACACACACACACACACACACACACACACACACACACACACACACACACACACACACACACACACACACACACACACACACACAGTACCGACTACTACAACAAAATACAGCCACTGGACTCCTGTCCTGTCCTGGTGAAGTAAAACTCATCTTTGTTAACTTCAAGGGATCAAACAATGAAATTAAACTTCTCCTGCGGAGCAAACTCGAAGTATTTGTATTGAAAACTTTGAACTGCATGAATGTTTATTTTATTCTACCACATAAAAAAACATCCCAGCTCTCAAGTTTAGTCATTTATGCGAATATAGAGGTGGAATCTAGTAACATAATAGAGATCTGGTGTCCCGCTCCAGTTTTGGGCAAGTTCGGCTGTTCCACTCGCCTCTGTTCCACGATGTATTTTCTTACACTGATCTTTTGGAAAAATAACACCGGTGTTTCCTGTCCATATAAAATAGGCCAAGAACTCTTGGGTTGTAGTTGTTGAATAAAACAGAAACTAGAATATACAATGTTGAAAGCTTTGTCCAAAGACTTCAAAGGTCCTTAACAGACTCACGTCATGATGCAGACTGAGAAAGAGAAGATCCCGAATTCGTAATGATTCTTCAGATGGTTTGGACTTGATCTCTTCCAGTCCACTGAAGAAATCCTGAAGTGTTCTCTGACATTAAACTCAAATCCCAATCCAGTTGCGAGCTGCAATGTTCTTTGGTGATCTGCCGTCTGCTTATCTTTATATATTCTCTCTTTTTAAATTTCTCTCTTTTTATTTCTTGCTCAATTAAGTTGAGATACCCACACTCTCGTTATCAGGTTGCAAAGGTGAAAGCTGGAGCCTTTCTCCCTTTGGTAACAACAGTGAGTGAGGAAAGGGAAGTATAAAGTTCTTCCATCTGCACAACAGCCTGAAGTTGGGGCGAGACTTTGGTTCTCTAACGCCAAGAACTTCAAATGAAACATTCCAGGTAAATACGACATAAGAAGTCGTCATATAATTTCAAGCAAGCCAGGTTCATTCATATAGAAATAAATTATCACACCAATTGCAAACTGAAGTTCTTTTTGTTTTTTTAAGACACAAACTGAATGTACTAGCAGATTTTCAAAAACATCACTCACCTGACTGTTGATGTCCGCTTTGTGCTGCAGTAATACAGAGACCAGCTCTTTGTGTCCTCTGTCACAGGCCCAGTGCAGGAGAGCCCGACCCTTCGGACACAAACATGCAAGTGCACAGCAGATGATTAGTAGGACTCTACATACCTTTAAATGGCATGTGCAAAGACAGTGTGGATCAATTATGAATTACACACAATCACCCTCCTCCTCCTCACCCTTGTCCTCCTCTACCTCATGCTCCTCAAAGTTAACTTGGACTCCAATCTGTCTCTTTGCTCTCAGACAAAATAAATTATGCACTACCATTCAGAACTCAGAGCCTTTGGACCTCAGTTCCACAATAACCTGCGGACAGAGTGATGAGATGTGCGTGTGTGTGTGTACAAAGAAGAGCAGTGAGGTGGTTCAAGCACTGACCGAGGGCTCACAGACAAATTGCAGTAACCTGCACACGGTCTGTAAAGCTTGATTGATGGGACACTGTGCACAAAGCAAGAGCAACCCCCTGATCAACAAGCCCCTACTCTATCTCTCACACACACACACACACACACACACACACACACACACACACACACACACACACACACACACACACACACACACACACACACACACACACACACACCCCTCTCCTTAGGTCCAAGATCCTTGTTCTAATAAAACCACGCAAGCTCATTTTTCAGTGAGGCCAATTAGGTAAAGCAAACTCTCCAAGTCCAATTCTGTTGCTTAAATCATATTGATCACCATGGCTGCATGTTAAAATGGATACTTATAAGCCAGGCCAGAATACCAATAAGTTGGTCTCTCCCTCCCTTGCTCTCTCTTTCCTGCTGTCTTCCAGGTGAGCTGCTGCTGACTGCTGGCCACATTTTCTTTGAAAGCCACAGTTAACTACACTGCTCCAACAGGATACAGGATACTGCACGTGCGCGTACACACACACGAGTTGCAGTGATTAATAAAACACTGAATGTGTCAAAAAGAATAAGCACAGCATTCAAAGTTGAGAACCCACCATTTACAGAAACATTCAGAGTTCTGGCCGCCAGCCTTGATATTTAGAAGAGAGAGCACTAAGAAGGGTCTCTTCTGATCGTGGCTGAATTAGTCCAATCCAAGAAGATGAACCACAGGTAATAAAATGTTGAGCACATGCTGCTCATGTGAGTAGACGACTAAAAGCCTCCATTCTCTTTATTTGTAGAGAAGGACAAACTCCCACTCACTGTGGAGGAGAGAAGCACCGCTATATATTAGCAGTTACATCCCTAACTAGACACACAAATAGACACAACATGCAAACCAGGGGTCTGAAATCTAATCTCAGTTTAGGATTTCTGGGTTTACAGAAACACCTTTCCTAACTGGATCTTATCTTAGGATAGGAATTTAGCCATTACAGAATGTCCTAACTGGAGAAGAACTGAACAATGAAGATGGGAAACAACATGAACACCGAAATCTTTTGATTGAAAGGCTACTCAAACTTTATAATGACGCTTTAAGTTTCCCAGACCATATATTAATAGGAAACTGCCAAGACTTGATTTGATGTGATGCTACGTCCATTCAAATCTTTATCCGGGGCCAGTTTGGAAGAAAACTTCCCATAAAGGTAGGAATTCCTCTCCTCCACAGACACCATTAACACTTGTCCATTATAGCAAGCTAGCTAGCCAGTGACAAGTGACGTGAGACAGCCGTTGTCAAGGATAAAGGCAGTCTCATGTACGTTCTAAACTCAGATGACAGGACGAGTGCGGATTGAAGAATTTATAGTTATAGTTAGGATTTCTTAAGATAGAAGGTCTGAGATGGGATAGGACACAGCCATGAGTTTAGGAATTGCTTCTGTAATAGGAAGATTTTGCATACCTTTGAAACTTAAGTTAAGCTAAGACAAACAGAACATTTTGTACAGTCGTCTTCTTTCCCCTTTCTCCTTGGCTCTGCCCTAATACACACTCACAGGTTAGCATGTTTGAGCTGGTATGAAACAGTAAGTATGCAGGGTAGGCAAGTATGCAAAAAAGTATGCAAGTGTGACGCACATTTGAAAGATGCCAACATGCAATAACAGAATGATAAATCCCATTGGAAACATAGTTCAAACAAAGTAAAACAAAATAAAATAGCATAATCCTACAGACATTTGCAAGTGTATCCAAATCTTAGACTTAGAAAACTTTTGGGATGCAGCACAAACCCTTTATCCACACAATACAAGACAACAAACAATAATCTAAGATCATCTCACAGTCATGATAAAATGATAATAAATAAATTAATATGTCTTCCTAGTGGCATTTAAAAGTGCATGTCAATAACTGTGATTTAAACTGCACTACTATTTTTTATGAAATCTGATTGATAAAGACAGATAAAGACTGATTGACATTTAAATACCAGACAGACAACTTTAAGGCAGGATTATAAGGTGAGTTTTGAGCAGTTTCTGACAGATATAGTCTGCTGGATATTTCTTGAAGACAATTCTGGTCAATAATAATCGGGTTGCCCCTCTAGACTTCTTTGTCTCGACTGCAGTTTATCAACACATGATGCACACTTCTCCTAGAACTGCTTATTAGCGGCATTCAGTGTCACTGTAGCTCACATTTCAGGATCTTCTACCCACCAAACCAGCAATGCACCTATAAGATGGCTTGTTCTAAAAAGTCCTCACTTTAATGACACGCTAGATTCAGCCCTAGTAACTGAGCTATTTGTAAAGCAATTTTAGTTTTGTTGACTGATTCAGAGTGCAATCAGAACTAGACTGTCCAGTATTTGGATTATTTTGGAAGGGCTGAAATAATTAAAATAATCAAAAAGAACATATTAGTGACAAATAAGGTACAGGTAAACAAACTGGCAAACATTTCCCAAACTGAAGGAATGCAACACAAAACTATAAATGACATTAATCTTGCTTTAGAATTGTTAAGTGAAAGATTTGAGGTCAACACCCATGTGCTCTCTTTTGGGTTACAATAAAGAATTAAACTATTTAATTTATATACAAACAATACACAATGTTATTGTTTATGATTTTTTCTGACTCATTCCATTTTTTTAATTTTAATTAATTACATACAAAACAGCATAATTTGACATTGTCACCTCCATTCTGCTTTTCCCTAATAGTTTTTGGAAGTACGTGCTTTTCCACAATGTTCTATCATACAAGACATATCCGGTTTTTATCGTGTTATCTTTTTTATGTGACTTAATCAACAATAATCCTAGATAGCTCCATGTAAGGAAACTATTGGATTACTCCTTTGGTTCCCTGAATATTTGCTTATCTGTTTTTGTTTCATTGTTATTTGAATATAATAGTGATACTGGATGGTTGTTAATTATCTGAAATTTAGAAAATTGTCGGAGCAACCAAGAGGAATGTGGAAATCGCATGAATGATGGGATGAGTTCATTAACCAAGCTTGTCCTATTGCGTTCTAAAAATCCTCCACACACTTGCAGTCTGAAATGGTATTTGGCTTTGTTGTTGACTACTAGAAATATGTAACACAGGTGGATATTTGGTCACATGCCCAAAGAGTGAGAACTGGGACAGAGCCTCTTTATGCCTCTCTCTCTCTCTCTCTCTCCAGGCTGCAGATAAGGCTTCTTGCTGATGTGAAACTTCACCACTGCCCTCTGCTGTTGAGCAAGCTGCACTGCAGTTGAGCCAACCACAAAAATGGCAGTGGACACAGACAAAGCTTTCCCTGCCGAGGTCCCTTGGCCATCTGGCCTTTGGCTGGGAGCTCACTCACCAGCCGACCTGCCTGCTTATCTTTAGAGCGGCTGTGGTGAGGTGCTGAGTGAGCCATTTGGCCTGGCCGATATTTAATCGAGGGCAGATGAATGGATTTCAGGGTCAATCCAGAAAACACCTCAGGATGGTAATAGCAGGTCATACAATTTACGCATCTCACCCTGAGGAGTGTTTCCCATGTGTTTGTGGCTTCAGATCATTGAAACCATTATGTAACAATTGCAAAAAGAGCCATGTGAACCATCCCCCAGTGACCTGTATTTTCAATGATGCTCTACAGATCATTTTCACCTGCCCTCCTGCACAAGGGGTCAGAGCAGATGGTACAGACTCAGTGCCTTGCTAAAGGACACTTCAGCAAGGTAAATCTCTCCTGATATGTTGGTTGAACATGAATTATCTGTATTATCAAAAAATGGTAGATTTTCCTACTCTGCCCTGTTGTTGCCACTTACCCATATTGTATATAGACAACACAGTATTTTCATGGTAATAATATATTTATGCACAGCAGCACTATTAACAACAACTCTCACATGCCATCAGTACAGTTGAACTTGATTTCTAGGCACTACGTTTTGTTGTTACCTCTTCGTCTTTAGTATTGACATCCACTTTCTGGGAGCTGATGGCCTTGCTGATGTGGTCAATGTTATTTTCTCTGCAGTAGTCAAAGATGTTTTTATCCTCTTCCCTGAGAGTGATACAGAAACAGAGACAGAGAGGCAGAGAAAGAAGAAGATTCAGTCAATTTTTTTTTACCATAATTTATAGTTAAAGAATCAGATGACTTTGCTTCACTGTCTTTGGTTTAGATATCTTAAAACCTGGGCAAACCAAACCAAAACAACTATCTGCACGGCTATACACCACCACAGGTAAGTGAGAAAATACACTTTCTGTTATTTGGGTGAACCGACCCTATAAATGCCTTGCATGTCCAGTCAAGTGCTTCATGTGTTACATGTGTGCACACACCCAGGAAAGCAAACACCGTGCCACGAGAGCATTTAGTCATCAAACACACAGATAACACAAAACACAGAACTACTCTATCTGTCTCATACACAAGCAGCAGCCACACGTGCCACATCCCTCGGGAATACTGGCTTATACGACACACACCCAACCACGCACACCACCATCCCACCTCTGATTATATCTCTGTGTCTCTAATCACCTCCTGGCATTGGGGACAGGAGTGAGTGCTGGGGGGAGGCAGGTTGCAGTGGTGGTGGTGGTGAAGGAGGGCTGTTGGGTGAAGGGGAGAGAAGGGGTGAAATCTCATTTAGAGCTTTACGCCTTCCCCTCCCTCTTACCCATGCTGGCCATTCAGATTAATTGAATTTAGTGCTCTATTGTCTGATAAAAACCCTACATACCCACCGCTTTACCACTCCCACGCAGTATGTCAGTCATCCCCAAAGCCAAATCCCCCACTTCCTGTCTCCAATGCTGGCTTGCTCTGCCACACTGGGCCATAAATGTCCCACAGCACACACCTGGCTCCAGTCACACAGGAGACACTTTGGGCTGTCGCCCCATTAAAACTGATGTTGTTTAGCTTTGAGTTGAGTATGTGGCCTTACCTACACTGCCAGTGCTGTGTTAACATGAAGATACAGAGGCCAGACAATAGTCATATCAGAAAGGGCAACGATCTTCAGTGTTTTCTAATAAAGAACACCTCCACAAAATATAACCGTAAGAGGAAAAGAGCAGAGGGGCTATTTCACAAAATAACTGGCATTTATTTTATGATTAAAGCAACTGTTTAGGTTGTCACATACTGAATTAAATCACAAGCCTAGATGTGGGTTTAGAGCTGCAATGATTAGAAGATTAATCAATTAGTCTATCTGCAACAATTTAGATAATCATTGAGTCTTACATGCTAAGGTTTCCAACATCAGCCCTCTCTCACACCGCTGGATAAACTACTTAAAACTACCCCGAGTGGACTCAAACCATTCTAACGCACAACCAACACATTTTATTGTGAGAATTCAGTTTCAAAATAGACACAAACACGGCAAGACACAAACAAAGTTTTTTCTGTCGTTTGTTCTTTAATGAAGCTCTGCACTTTTCTTTCTTCAGCTTTTCATCTACATGCTTCTCTCCCAATTCTCTTTCCTCCCCTCCCTCTTCCCGCCACCGCCTCATCATCCCGTGATGAATTATGAATAACTCATTACACTTTTATCACGGCTACGTTATGTATGAGCACGTTCATTTACATACTCCTGATTACCAGCACTATGTTTATTCATGAGTCTCAGCACGGGGCCACACCCACTTCCTTGTCTGATGGCCATGGTGACCCCAAGTGTCCCTGATGTGTGGCCGCCATCCGTCTCCCCGGCAACTAATCAATAGGCCAGCTCATCAGTCTTTCGTCGATGGTCGGACAGGGCTGACCTGACAGGCGCATGACACATGCTCACATACATAAAGCACAAGCACACATCTGCAGTATGTAGTGGAAGCTTATATAATATGCACAATTGCTAAAATAAGTTTATTTATGAATGTACACACACAACCAACACCTGGATATAGTCTGTACCACAGTGAGAGTACACATGAAACCACCCACATAGACACAAACACACACAGGCTATAAACAAACAAATGATTAATGTGGGTCCTATAAACGACATGACATCAACAGCACTGCAATGCATGCTGGGAAGGTCACAGGCTACTCTGTCATCACAACAGCTGGGGTACAGAAGGTTGTGTGTGTGTGTGTGAGTGTGTGAGAGAGAGAGAGACAGAGAGAGAGAGAGTTTTATGTGTTCACATGTGTGTGTCCAGTATGGTGTACTGGCAGATATGTCCTTCATCCATCAGGCTAAACTGGCCACAGTGGTGGAGAACACTCATCTACCTGAGCTTCACACTGATCAGCACCACAACCACACCATCCATCACACACACACACACACACACACACACGGGCACACACACACACACACACACACACACGGGCACACGGGCACACGGGCACACACACACACACCCCTACACAATCCGTCATCAATTCCCCTATATGAGTCTGGTCGATGCTCTCAACATTGCTGAGCTCCATGGAAGTACGAGAAACAATGAGAACTCAAATAACTCAGCAGCGGCTTCCAGCAAAGTGTGCGGACAATAAGATCTCTAGTGTTGATCCAAATCCTTTTTTCCCCCCCAAGGTGGTTGAGAGAATTACAAATGTAGCATTCATAGCCTCTTCAATCACACACTGATCAGCTCAGTAAGCCAGGGATATTGCTAATCAATCCTGTTTTTGTCCACACACACACACAGATTAAGATGAGCAGTGAGCAATGCAATTAACTCTGTCTGGTTAACAGGTGCTTAGCTGTTTAATATGGAGCTTGTGTGTGTGTGTGTGTGTGTGTGTGTGTGAGTCAGAAAGAGGAAATTGAAATGCAGCAGAGCAGCGAGTGTGACAGTTCCGGCAGGTTATGCATGGTTTCTGATGCAATCGCATCAACGTATAGCGGCAAGTTTATGTGTGCACACATGTGCATAAGTGTGTATGTGTGTGCCATGTTAATGACTTCCTCCTGTTTGGTCTCCCTCGAGACATTGTTGCTACTGGATATCACCAAAGAGAGCATCGTTCTGGGAAACCTGCTGTACCTGCCTCCCTCCGATGTATCCGGTGCGTGTGCATCACCCCCCCGAATCGTAACGTAATTAAAAAGGGGAGACTCTGGCCACCCTTCCAGAGACTGTGCATACTAATCACATACAGCCATTTAGGAGGAAAACCTGCAGGATTCACACATCTCATTTTCATCTCCAAAAGAGCTCTTTTTTCATTGAAATGAAGATGAGGTTTTTAAGCTTGAGTAAGTCTGCCAAGCAGAAGTAAATGGAGAATATATTTCATTAACATAAATCCGAACTGTATGACGTCTCTGGGCTCTAACTGCAGTTACGGTCTGTTGAATATAATCAAATACAGCATCACGATCAGTGGTTAACAATGCCAGACTCAGATCGAGTTGACCTAAGCATTAAATAAGTGGTGATTCACAACTGGAGGAAAAAAAGCTGAGTCTGTTCGAGCACCCTCAAGAACTGGGAAATGCATTTAGATGCTTTGGCATCTGAAAACACAACCAAAGAACACAGAGTTAAATAAACACAGTATACACAGTAACACACACACACACATATATATATATATATATATGTATATGTGTGTGTGTGTGTGTGTGTGTGTGTGTGTGTGTGTGTGCGTCACTTCTGATGTAAATACCTGATCATCTCCTCCTGGTACAGAGAGCTGACTGCTGCTCCTCCAAAGCCTGTTCTTCTTTCCGCCCCTCGTCTTTCCTGTCAAATAGAAGTGATTCATTAAAAAACAATTTCCACCTTAAAACTACTGTATCCTGTTAAAAAGCATAATTCTTGTTCAATGACAGCTAGTGTCAAGCACCAACCTAGTCAAGTCTAGGCTTAGTTCAGCACGCTGTGTTGCTATCCCATATGTATAGCAATACAAAAGGCTTGGCTTCATCTATTCACCTTGAATGGCTATACCTATAGCTTTTCACCTATAGCCTTTGTAAAGCTAATGCACGACACCGGTGAAGTTCAAAATGTGTAATTTAGAAAACAAGTCTCTGGGGATTTAGACATGACCTCATAGGTAATAAATGTCCAGCAATATGCACAAGACCAATATAAAATATATAGCGCCTTAATTTGACTCTTGTTAATCTTCTGTGTTTTCCTTAGAATTCCATATTACATTCAGTTCAGCCAAGACTTTATTACCGAGCCTATTCTTCACTGACCAACCTCGACTCACAAAAGAACCCACACAAATCTGATTTCAGAAAATAGCAAGAGCAGGGGGAGAACACGACAAGCGAAGCAAAACAACTATGCGTGCACTTTTGGGGAAAACCTAATTCACTTCAGAAACTCAGAATATTCGCTGATGCACTGGCCCTGCTCCTCTAAAGTATAATGTAATATAAAGCCAGTCTCTGCTCAACAATTGAGGCAGGAAGAGAGGTCAATTCTGGCTATTATTCTCTCCCTTGCTTCTCTGTCTATGTACTCCTACTTACACCATTTGACTGCTCTTCCAAAAGAATAGCCACTGCCATGCTATGGTGCTTTGTTAACACTAATACAATCAGTTTCTTTTCAGGGGGGGCATTTGTGCATTTGCTTGGCCTGTCTGCCAGGCTTTCTCCTGGCATTGTGCAGCTGTGGGGCAGAGTCAGCGAGTATTGCCCCGCAGCGTGGCCGAAGAGAAAAGAATGTGTCAGGGTTGGACATGTTTTTGACAGTGATGCTATTAAAGAGACATAAATAAGGAAGGAGAGGAAAGAAATGGGAGGGATGGGGGTAAAAGAGTGAAGGGGTTAAAGAAGGTGTGTGTGTGTGTGTGTGTGTGTGTGTGTGTGTGGGGGGGGGTTAATAGAGAATGTGTGAGCAATGGGACACTGCACATAAATGTATAATTTGGCTTTTCAATTCATTTTAATTCTAGAAAAAACAACCTACTTCCATCTCTCTGGAGCTGTGCTTGTAGAGCAATATGTGGTTGGAGAGTATACTACACTTGTTCGCAACATGGTACAGCAGTTTTCAGTTTCTCCATAGAAATAATTTTGATCTCAAATATCAAATAAATATGAGCACAAAGTTGTTGTTTTAACTGAATGCTTCCACTTGCTGCTCCAAAGGACAGCCTGTCCATGGCAACAACTCTCCTGACACAGTCAACAGGAGCACGTAGATATGTAGACAGTCTCTCTTATGTCTCCATAGTAACAGGCACATCTCGACAGCCATACTATGGCTACAATGACTATTTTTTTGCATTATTTATATCCCAATATGTCAGCTAAAGATAACATAATCTTCTAATGTATTTTTCATGCTACATATACAGAATAAAGAGTGACTAAGAGGCCTGGGACAAAATGACATTGTGACACTGACCTCTGCTGGCAAAAAACTGCACTGCAGCTTAAAGGGGCAGCAATGATATCAGATGTTTCTATATTTGTCATCCTTTTAATCTGACTGTGAATCAGACCTGAGTCCAATATTTATGTTTATTTGAAATACCTTTAAAGGCTAGTTTAAATAAACATGAAGTCAGACAGGTGGTGCAACACTTTTACCATCTGTGTTGTTAACATCAATCACCTAAGAAGGTTTTATTAAAACTCCCTCTTCCTACTCTTATAAGAGGTCTGTCCATATACGGTATGTTTATTAATTTGATTTATCCAGTGCTTATTTTGGAATCCACTATATTACAATTCAGAATTATACAAAGTTGTATATTATAGTGCAATACATAGAGTAGTATAAAATCAAAATTAGTGTTGGGAATCAGCTTCTCACAAATGGTTCTCATTACCTTCGTGCTGCCTTCAGGGTCTAACACATTGACACAGGAAATGTACTCCTGCATTGCCTGCTCCGCCTCCATGTCTCCAAGCTGCTTCCAGGCTTGCCTGTAATGACATCATAAATGTGTCACCACAATCATAACGCACAGTTGTAAACTGGAGGTTTGCATTTTTATCTGTACTATGTGTTGTAATGTAAGTGCGCTCACACACACACACACACGGTGCCAGTTACACCACAATCCAAGATGACAAATTCAGGCATGCATGCCTGTAACATTATGAAAAATGTATCATCTGCAAACTTTTTATTGAAAACTGACACCCAATTTTAGGCTACATACCATTTTCTCTGTCCTTCAAAGTCAAAGAAGCCAGGCTTTGTTGTATTGCACTTTCCCACTTTGGCCTGAAAACCAAACAAATACAAATTACTCATCTGATCCAGTGTTATCCTGAGCAAATTAGGCTACATCAGATGACAACATACAGTGCCCTCTAAAACTATGGGTAAGCAAGGTTTCTTATTTTTGCTTTCCACTAAAGACATTTGGGTTTGCGATCAAAAGATGAACATGAAAAGAGCAATCAGATTGTCAGCTTTTATTTCCCGGAATTTACATGCATATATGTTTTACCATTTTAGAACACACCATTTGTTTCAGACAACCCCACTTTTGGGTGAGCAAAAACATTGGAACAGCATATCCCTTGCATGCAATAAATGAACTGATCCTGTGACCCACAGTCATCACCAAACCTTTAGCTTGTTTTATTGAGATGTTTTTCCAAGCCTTTACTGAAGCTTCTTACAGTTGCGGTTTGTTTTTAGGGGGTTCTCCCTTTAGTCTCCTCTTCAGCAAGTAAAATGCATTTTCATTAGGATTTACGTCAGGAGACTGAGTTGGCCAGTAATAAACCTTCCCCCGAGGAAACTTCTTGGTTGTGTTGGCAGTATGCTTTGCGATGTTGTTTTGCTTCATAAAAGTTTTTAATCATTTCTTTGTACAAAGGCAGATACAATGTTTCGGTAGACTTCTGAATTAATTCTGCTGCTACCATCATGAGTTAAATCATCAATAAAGTTGAGTGAAACAGTTCCAGAAGCAGCCATGCAAGTCCAAGCCATGACATAACCATCACCACGTTTCACGGATGAGCTGATTATATGTAGATCCTTTCCTGTCTTCAGTGTATGGCAAAAATAAAATAACTTGTCCTTGCTGTACTTTTGGAGGGCACTGTAGTATCTGGGCCTAACGTTACCTCATCTCTCAAAAATCAGGGATGATAGAGATGTTGGGCTTCAGTGTATGTGGATCTTATCTAAAGCCAAATGATGATAGTATTTGAGGGGTTAATTTGGCCTACACAACCACAGTGCCATTTAATCCGACACTCACCTGTTTGTAGCGTGCATATAGGTACAGTAGCTGGTCTCTGCTGGCCGTCTGAACCAGATCTCGTACCCGGTCGGCTGCAGACTCGAACTCCCGCTCCAGCTCGTCTCCCTCCAGCCGGTCCCCCATTTCCATGCCGCTGCAGTCAAATTTACTCAAACCCAGGTCCGAGTCAGAGTCCGAGCCTGCTCCACCTAGGGGCTCCCCTGTGTCAGGCCGGGCAGGGTCTGTACCTGAGCCAGTCGCAGTGTCCGGAGAGGACGACGGCGACCCAGAAGCCATTGTTATTAGTGTTTATAACGTTAGAGACGACGTGCGACGACGAGCGCCGTGTATCCGTATTTAAAACGTTAAATGCGAACGGAAAGTATCTGCCTGATAGGTATTTGTTAAGTATGTCAGGGGCGATTTTGTTTTTTAATCCGTTATCGTTATGAATCCGTGACAGTCGGATTTATTTCTACTGTTTGTGGTCCGTTTGTGGTACTGTCAACTAAAAGCACCGGCTGAACTCAATGCTAGCAAGAAAGGTTCCGGCAGTCTTCCTATCAGGGCTTCATTTGGTAAGAAAAAAACATGTTAGGAAAAACGAAATAAAGACAACGGTAAAATGTTGGTATGTCTATATTTAAATAACAGTATATATGAAAAGAAAATCTTTAGGGGCGTTTTAGTTGTCTACAATTTGCATGGTATTACCATTCAGTTAACATTAAAACAACTAACGTTAACGTTAAATTCACAGTCAGCGGTAAAGTTACTATCTAAAGTTAGCGTCATTAGCTAGCTGACGTTATTACGTTAGCTAAAGTAGCTTGCAGTTAGCCAGCTGATTCTTTGAATTGGTCAAATAGTGGTTTATTAAATCTCTTCAAATATAAACCATTCACATTTTATCACATACCACTGCATGGTAATTTTTGTAAAGTGTAACATACGGCCTGCATTTTGATTGTTAGCCTCCTAACTTTAGCTAACTTTACCTGGTTGCCTCGATCTACAGCAAAGTAACGCAGGTGAATTTAATGTGGCCTTTAATTGCCTCTTTTTACAGCAAACTATCTTACTTGTTTAACTACTTTTGTGTTCACTTTCAGTTTCATTCCAAGGGTCAATATATTGCTTATCTTCTACTGCAACTAGGGTGACCAGATGAGACGGACAGGGGGGCGTGGCTACCGGTACATTGAGTGTGAATACACCTGAAAATCAAAACACAACGCTTGAATTAATTATTTTTGTTCATGAAGTCACCTGTCTGTTATTAGGAAAAATACAACTGTGGATATGTTGGTAAATCATGATCTTTTACCTAATTTTTATATTTATTTTATTCATGTAATCAGTGCAGTGTCATCTGTCTGCGCAACGCGCGTGTTAGATCTCTTCGCCGTGCCGAGCCTGCCTGAAGCTACACTTTCCCTGTCCTTGGGACTGTAAATTCCACTAACCACAAGAAAACAAAAAGGGGAAAAGAGCACGAAGAGTGTTACTTTGTGGCTATAACAACGCTGTTGACACAATGTACAGATAACCTGCAACCCCTGCAGGAGCAAGCGAACTGTACATCGATCAGCATATGTTTAATTAGGCTATAATCAAAACTCATGTTAGGTCTAATTTTCGGGACAAACCGGAAAGGGGTCGGGACAACTGCTCGTAATTCGGGACGTCTGGTCACCCTAAATGCAACTAACACAACATTTATAACATGACTGAGTTTTTGTTGACACCTGTCATGAGGCAAGTGTGGCAACACATGTGCGCTGGTGGCAAAATGCATTAGCGCGGTTTGTCCAGCAGATGCTGCTATTGGCATAATGATGAATTGCCACCTGTTCCGTCTCTGCGACAGACACTGAGCGGTTGTCCCAACCATTCACGAGAGTAACTATATATTTTCACAGAGTAACTTATTCAACTTGTTTAGGATGTTTGTAGTCTCGTTCTCATTAACCTTAATTTTTATCTTCCATAAATGTAAGGACCTTTTGGAGTATGAACAACATAATGAAATACTTTTTGAAATGTCCCATGAGTAATAGCCAATTATCCTGTTCTCTTAAAAATCTCTGCCTTTTCAGAGCACAAAGGCTTCTTTATTAAATTGAGCATCCAAGTAGCCTATCTATACAGTAATTCGCTTTCCCATTTCCAGATAAATTGTAGAAATGTTGAAATAACCAGAAGGGCTCTGCACAACCGTAACTCTAATGGGATGTAGAGATGAGGACAGTCAGTCACGATTTTAAAAAAAGTACGTTTGCAGTCATTATGTGATCTTTGAATGGAGTTTGCGCATACAACACACAATGTAAACTTTAAAGGATCAGATAATGTATATTTAGCTTTATCCCCTCTTTCATTGCAGACAGCAGCAACAGCAGCCTCGGCGGTGTACAGAAGGCGGCACTCGAGACAAAAACCTAAAGAGACTGGGGTCTGTGGTCTGAATTATCTGAGGCGAGAGGTTCCCTGACCGCACTGTGCCAACTAGTTTTCACAGGAGGTCCCAACAACGCCCGGTGCCATTGCGCGCTCTGCTGACGCAACCACGTCGCTGTGGCTCAATGCGATGGCGGACCGCAATGTCCCCAGATCTGCCCAGGGAGGGACGGAGCAAAGTCACTGAGCCACTCTCACCGGCTCCGTTAAAGTGCCGTCCGACCACCTGTTAAAGAGAGGCCGCTACATTCCCGTCTCTCGTGTGAAATAGTATGTTGGACGGGATCTGTTCGGAGTGCACTGACCGGGACGAGCTAGAAGTGGAGTGAAGAGGAGCGGAGTGCGCCGGGCTGACGCACCGCATGTCGAGCCAGCAAGTTGACTGTAATAACAAAAGTCGCGTCGACGGGGAAGGGGACAGCCGCTCTCGGAGGTTTGAGGGGACAGTTGTTTCGGCAAAATGAAATTCGCGGAGCATCTTTCGTCCCACATCACTCCAGAGTGGAGGAAACAATATCTTCAGTATGAGGTAAAGTGAAATTTATCTCATATTTCAAATAAACGCCTTGTGAATACGGGTATGGGCGAAACTCCTACAAATACACATTTTTTTAGAAGAAAGTGCAAGATAAGAGTCAATATTACACATTTCAATAGCTTTTCTAAAATATTGTTTTCAGTTTCAGTGTAGCATACTCCCCAGAGCAATAAACGACGGGGAAGATAAGGGATGTCCTTTTGTTTATGGAGGGCAGATTGACTGTTGGTGTTAAGAGCCATAGGGAGCATTCAATGTTTGTTTTTTTTTATTGATGTTTGCTGAGTTTATGACACATACAAATTATCAGAATGAATAGTTTACTGGACTATTGAGTGCCTTTTTTTTAAAACTGGAACAGTTTAAGAAAATTGTTCCTTTATTTTAACAATTCATAGTACTCATATTTTTGAATATTCTATAAATAATTAATTTCTATAGCTTCTTTGTATGTTTATCTTTAGCATTTTCTTTGCAAAACAAATATGGATACTGTTGATTTCTATTACAATATGTTTTGTTCCTTGTCTTGATTTTGTCATGTAACTGAGAGGGTTTATATATAAAAAGGAAAACATAGTATTCATTGTCAATTGCTTTGATAATTCCATCTAACAAATTTACCTTCTTTGGATTATGCTTTAATTTTTATAATTTGCAGCAGTCTAACTGAGCGCATCAATTTTGCCCTATTATAAAATTGCAAATATTGTTCTCTATTTATTCTATGATTTTGACTCGACTTTTGGAAAAAAACGTGTACATAGTATTTTTAGTATATTATAATGTAGTTGTCATAAATATTTTGCACAATTAAAAAGGAACGGTTGTCTCTATGAACTGACCGGCAACACTTCATCTAACAGGATATTCTGTCTGGTTTCTGATGTCTGTGGATTTAAAGAGACCTTTGTGTGCAAGCATGGTCTTTGTTGGTGGGTGTACAATACTTGAAGAGTATTTTAGTTTCACACCCCACTTCTTTGCTTTGCTGGCTCTACATTAACAGCTTTATTGCAGACATACAGTGACAGGAAAGGCTGCTCCGTTCCATTTAGCTCTATGAATTATAGACAAAGACCCGTTTCTCTTCAACCTCAGCAGCCTACATCTGAGACTCAACAGAAGCTCATTGCACTGGTTTTATTTTGGAAACATGCCCACAATATTATTAAGTTTGCTACAGCAGACATTTGGATCTGTCCAGCTTGATATGAATGATGTGCTGTCATCATCGTGTAATGAAAACATCTTCATAATTCAAGTGGAAAACAATTAAAGCTATGTCAGATATGTAGTCGACACACTAAAAACAGCTCTACTCAAGAATTTTATTTGAATGGATTATTAACATACATGCACAGCCTATGTGGGGGCTTTGTATGCACAGACTGACGCACAGTGAGCCCAGGGACAGATGCATGGCCATACCAGCCATTTTACACCTCCAGTCTTCAGCTCGGCACTCACTGACCTGAGATGGATGATGATAGATTTTCTCTGTCATTATGCTTAGAGTTGTTATTCAGTTATACTGGATGATAATAATCTTGAATTGACATTCAAGGTTTAATATTACAGTATTTTAGCAAGATATTTACACTAGTAACTATCAAAAGAGGCAATTCAAGTAAAAAAAAAAAACAGCTTTCGAGAACAGATTGCATGCTTTTCATACAGGAATCATGCATGATCTTTTTAGATATGTCCGAGTATACTTTATTATTGGAATAGCCAATTTCTGTGAGCATGAATGATTGATTGATTTTAGTAGTCTATATTTAATACTTAAATTGAAAGTGCAACAATAAATCTGGTGTTAACACAACTATTATCGACCATTGATATGTGAATCATATGGAGTTTAGGCCTTTGTTATCCTCTTTTAACCATCCCAAAAACCCAGCCTTTACAAACATATTGATGTCACGTGTGTAGTTATTGTTGAATTATGTAGATCAACAGGGCTGTCCCCTGTCCATACAGTTTGTATTCTTCCTCAAATCTGAATTATATATAGGGTTTGCAGCAAGGATAGGTTTGTGTGTATCTGTGTTATTGTGCTGCCTTCAGTCTTTGTCTGACCTCTGTAAACACCATTACCTTCTGAGTGGGTGGGATAGGGAGAGATCATGGAGAGAGCTCACACATACAGATGATGGACATCTTACTCGAGGCTTTTATGCCCTCTGAAACAAGTCAAGAGATGAGGACAAACATAAAAGTTGTCTGCAACGAGTAAAGTCAGTTTACTTCAGTGAAGTGGGTCACTGACATAAAACATAAATAAATTTTAATGTCATTTTGAAAAATTCAAAGCCTTGATATTCAACTGCAACAGAAGTAGAGTCAATTAATGGAGTGAAGGGAATATTACAGAAATACCTTGAGGTATGCATAAAAACATTCAGTCATTACAAACTGTAGCCATCACAACTGCTGTATTGTAATATAGTTGTCTGTCTACTAAATAACACACTGACACATTACTCTAGCAACACAGATAATTTTTACCCGTTGTCCATGGAGTAAAGTATGGCACTTCCACACTGGCCATATGTGTCACATATGCAATATTACAGCTGCCCACATCCTCATTGTCTGTGGTTTGAACTTCTATTTTTGCTTTTGTGTGCTAGCTCGATTAATTAACCTGCTGCCCAGTTTTCACTCTCCTCCTTTTTGTTAAAGCTCGCTATTGTGTGAAAAAACGCATGCGGTGTATTTAGATTGGTCAGCCAGTTTCTATGCAGATGAGAAGGATGCGGCAAATTGGCTGTTCCAACAAATACAGGCTTAAGTTAGCAAGGCACTTCATTTGGACGTGGAAGCATCGACAAACTGATTGAGTGATAGAGTAATTAGGTGTGTGCTTTATCCTGTGGGGTTGTAAACCTACATGCTAAACAGCTGTTTGGTATGGAGGTGTACATGTCCGGCTGCTCCAGAGGTGTCTTCCAAAAGGGCAGAGGATGTTGGTTCTACATCGAAAAAGCTGTTTTTATGAAATCTAACTGATGATAATCCATTTCTCTACATGCCTGAGGATTTTTCATACAAAAGCAAACTTTCTTGTATTACAGCATGTAAGAAGTATGCGGACAATAATTAGGTGTGGCAACTGTTGAACTCAGATGCATATTGAATTACTAACATATTAAACATTAGAGGCATATAGAAAGAATAAGAGATAGAGATGCAGGTGTGTGTGTGGGCGAGAGAACAAGGCCACTTATGCATTTACCTCTGCAGTCTAATCACTCATGTAAGCTTAGATGAGGAGGAGGAGGAGGAGAGTGCATGTTCGAAATAGCGAAGTGATTTTATGTTGATGAAAATCGGGTGCCTATGTGATTTCAGTGAGTGATTGTTGTTTGTTCAAAGGTGAAGCCTTATCTTTCTATAATTAATCTGAGCGATTCAGTTTAAATGTCTCAGAACTAATGGAAATGGTACATAAAATATACAACATCGCTCACATCATCTATACCTAGTTTGTGCACTGAACGTGTGATTTATCAACATGTTCAACAATATGAATGTTATGTATACAACAGGCATGGCATGGCAACTGCTGAGAAACCCCCATTTCAATACCTCCCTCCTTCCTTCCATCCTCACCTCATCGTTCCTCCCCCACTGGGAGGACATCTGGTCCCCGACCAGACCTGCCCTCTGCTCCCCTCCCTCAGTCCTCTCCTCCCATCCTCCCATCTCCTCTTTCTACAAGCAGGGCTCCACTTAGACACAGAGCTAGGGATTCAAGTGATCCGCGATTGGCTTTCTATTTGAGCCAGAGATCTCTTCAGACTAATGATGCACACTGTGTGATCATCTCAAGCACAGGGATAACAATCTCAAGCATCCTGGCCATCTAGCACTCAAATATTTTGGTGTTGGTTAGTGTCCACTCAACATTGTTGAATTGAATGTTGTCACTGGAGTTCAATCCTTTAATAGCTGTGACATTAAAGGATTGAACTCCAATGACAACGTTCGGCCACCGAAATTAATCGGCCGAAAATAGCAAAATAACTGTGCTTCCACGTTACATTTTAGTATCCATCAGCTTGCTTGGAACCTCAACGGAGGTGAGGTGATTTGGAAAAAAAGTACCTGGAAGCAGGTACAGGTGCAACATTTCTACACTGGAAAACCAAACAAAGGCGAGTCGAGCCAAAGGGCCTCCGCTCAGACTAGCTTGGTTTGAGGGCGTGCCTGACCCTGCTAGCTGCTTGGCGAGCTTTATGACAAGTTTTCATTGTGACGTCACAAGTAAAGGAAGTGAAGGGCTGGACTACAAACGAGCTGTTTTCAAGCAGTTCAGAGCAGAGCTTTCTGTGGGAGATGGGAACTCCCTTTGCGCTGGACCTCGGGCTTTTTCACTTTGCAAAACTGTTACATGCACAAAAAAGATATATAATTCAATAAAGGAGATTGAACCTGAAAATGAGCATAATACCACCTCTTTAAAGTACAAAGTGTGTAAATCGGCTAAAAGGACTTTTAAATTCAATATCGCCGACTTCCTTTTGGATGTCAGGTATCGCTCCTAGAGGCTTTTTTGTACATCTGGACATGATACACATACCACAGAAATTTCATACGCATAGTTGAAACTTTGTCCGGGGGGCTGCTCTGTAGGGGGCACTAGCGATCCATTTTTCCATGCCCATGCGCAAAACCCATAAAGTACGAATTCTTTCGCCCCACCTGAATTATGTGCAAAGTTTGGTGAATTTTCGTGCACGTTCATGCCCCCAAAATTGAGGTTACTTTTATCGTGCCCTAAAAATAATTCCTTCAGTTTCAGTAGGGACCTCACACATTTCATGCTCGGCCCCTAATTATTTATCAAATTGGATCGGACTCATAGACTGTATGGTCAGACTTGATGAATTTATTGTGAGGATAGACATATGACAACGTCCGGTTTTCAAAATGAGATCTTAATTAATTTAATTTATTCAATGGTAAAAAAAAGGCAAAATAAATGACAAAAAATGTGAATGTACTTGTTCAGTATTCTGCAAATTAATTTGTTATATTATGTTTCGGCTTTGGCCAAGAATTTTCATTTCGGTGCATCCCTACCTCAGTCAGATATAGTGACTTAAGTCTGTTGCTTGTGTTACACACGTTTGGTTTAGTGTGTGTGTCTTCATGACGTTAATGCATGGTCATTCAAACTGATGGCCCCATTAGGCTTGGCTTAGTTATTGTCTACGGGTTTCACCACTGATTACTGCCAAGCCTGTAGGTTTATCCCAGTTCCCTAAAGAGCCACCCCGCCCCCTTTCCCAATTTTGCCATCACCATGGCAATCCCTCCCTATCTGAATCTGAATGTCTATTTCCCACCTATTAGTCGGGTGGGCCCTTTTTGCTCACCGGAGATTAGCCAGGACCGGGCCCTGCTCCAATGTTGTGTGCGCACAGTTGGCTTCCTCTGACCTTTATCAGACAAGGTAGACACAATGCTACATGTTTACCTCTTGGATTAGACTCCAGTGTCAGAGTCTCATTGTGCAGGAACTGAAAGAGGAACCCAAGTATCAACAACCCAGGCTGCTACTAATGCACAGCAGTTTCAGAGTGGTTTCCACCCACACACAGGATTACTAACACTCATATTACAAAAGCAGCTGTGTCTATAGGAACCTGGACAAAAAGAGCAGTTTGATATGATCTGTGGCTAAAATAGGAAAACATACAGATTGTCAGATTTGGATGATAGATTTTAATTTACTGACCGTATGAGCTGAATGCTGAATATAAAAGTTTGGCACAGTGCAAATGTTAGTGTTATGCACTTTGTGTAAATGTAAACTCTGAACTTAATGATTTAGTAATTAATACTTAAAAAGCTTAATAGACAGACATTGTTTTATATGTTGCTGGGGCATTATAGTTATAAAGACATCTTTATTGAGAAACAGGATTCAGTTCCAGTCTTTTCTCTGATTACCACTAATATGTTCAGATGAGCCAGCGTGCAGTTATCTGTCACTTTCCATTATCTTAAAGATCAATCTTATTGCAGAGAAACAACCTCCATTAACTGCTACAGCTATCTCTCCCCCTCTGCTTTGTATCTGTCAGTTGGTCTGTCTGCCTGTGTGCCTCTCTCTCTCTCCCCCAAATCTGCTCTTTTAATTAGAAAGATGTGCACTTTGACAAAATAGTGTTGTCTATCAAACGAGAACAATTTAATGTCATCTGTAATTTAAGACATTGTTTAGTTAAAAATCATTGTCATCTTTCCTATTTTAGAAGGTTTTTGTTTCACCCAAGCATAAAATTATACTCTAAAAGGAATAACACAAACTGGTTGCAAGTGGACAGTTTATGGCAATCACCAAAATATGGTACTGTTTGGTCTACACATTCTTTGAGTAACTAGTATAACTTAGATTAAAATGGGATCAATTAAAATGCCAGAGTTTGCGTGTTGTTCGTTATGTTAATAGCTGTGTGGCAGTTGCTGTAATCTTCCCATATGGAGAACAAGAGTTTAGTTAATGTTTCTCGAATGGCTTTAGATGGCTTAAATGCTACTGTAAAAGCAGATGGTGCTCTCAATTGTGTAATGTCCCTTTGGTCTACTGTAGTCTCTTCTTGTTTACACTAGTGTTTACACTGACTCAGGTGATTTTGGCATTTTGTCTGAATCACCCCACAAATACATACATGTATACACTCTGTATTTATGGATTATATGGACTCTACTGACTTTAAATATCCTTTAACATCCTGGCAAAAGTACATCATTGTATAGTGTTTTGTGTTGCTTGGATAAGTGTTTGCAGACAGTGATATTATTTTCTCATTTTCTCAACAGGCATTCAAGGAAATGCTGTATGCTGCCCAGGACCAAGCCCCGTCCATAGAAGGTAAAGAGACTCTCTATTTGGATAAACAAACACACATACTTCTGTACCCAGTGCCACCTGCCCAGGGCCTGTTTGGGTATCCCCAGAATAACAGCCTTTCATCTGCCAAAAATAGGAAGAAATCATTGCGAACAGGCTGCCACTCACTCCTGAGTGTTGACTCAGCTGATGACTCAGCCAAACCAAGGCCAATTACCAAATCATTATCTTCTACTGTACTGTCTTTTTAACCTGCATGAAATAATAGATGGCTCATATGACAAAAAACGTGCCGTGAAGTAAAGTTTAATGTTTGGTGAAGTGAAAATGTTTTTATGATGTACAATTTCTGTGGTTGAAACGTTGTTCTGCATTCTTTAAACTGCTTTGATGTAATAAACTCTTAAGACAACAGTGTACTAGTACTTAACATTGCAGACCAGAGCTAGAGTTCAATGGCTGCTACTCCACACAGCAAAGATAAGGAAGGCTGCCGGCTATAATTAATCTCTGGCATTAGATTGCAAGTGACGTGTGATGAGGGAAAGAATGTAAACCATTTGTTTTTATTTTAGATACCCGTTTGTGGACGTAAACAACTTTCTATAGCTGCAGGCTTGAGACTTACTTTATGATGTGGTGATGTGCCACTCTGCCTATGTGGCCATGGAAGTGTGTCTGCAGAGTCTGCGATGGAGTTGAAAAAAGAGCTTGTCTAGAAATAGGACTGTGCAAAACTGACCTCTACCATGCTTGCATGTCTGTGTTTTGAAGAGATGAGTGCGTGTGTCTATATACTGATAGATTTTTCGGTGTTGTGCAACATGCCCCTCACAGAGTTGCAACTCCCAGAGCTCAGTTCCAGCTGCGCGGTCTTGATGGTAGTATAATGCGAGACTATCCATGAGCAACACACACAGTGAGTGTGTGGCTGACAGAGCTCTGTCTCTGCGTGTGTGATTCAGCTTCAGGCACAAAGATCAGTTTCAGACATTTGTTGATTTTATTTTTGACCGCTGTAGGCGTGAAAGGACACCCTCAGGATTTATTATGTGAAATATTCCATGAAATGTCTTTTAAGTGTGTATGAATGCTCATCTGCTTTGTGTGTATGAGAGCCTGTGTGCATGTTTGTGTTTCTTTTGTTATTGGTCGTTCCTAAATGGTACATTTAATACTACTATAGAACACATGTCTTGTTCGGTGAGAACATGAGCTGTTTCTCCACAGGCGGTTAGTCCTGCTTGGCGTGGATGATAAATCATTTCCTGTCTTAGGCCTGAGTTGTACCCATAGGTCAATGCTCTGCCTCTGTCAGCCTGTCGCAAGATAGGTGATGGTGTCTTATGAATAGAGAAGGGATCGATAAATCAGTAGAAGATCATACTGTTTCATTCATCTGGTATTGTTGTGACGTTTCAACCTTTCCCACTCAATCAAATTGATTTGCGTGCTTTTCACTAAAACACTAAAGCAGGAGTGTGCAAAGAAAGGAGTATCACCAATGGCATTTGTTGTGGAGAGAGCAAATTGCTGCATGTATCAGACAGGTGTCAGTCCCTGTGTTTTTATGGGAAAGAGAAAGAGACTAATGAAAACAGCAGTAGAAGCAGACAAGCAGCATAACTGAGTCCAGTGTCTTACTGTCTCCTGTGGCTGAGATTTTTTTGATTTTTCATAAGGGAAACAAGATTAGCAGGTGTTATAAAATCCAAGCTCACTGCAGCACTTTCTCATCACATCCACTAGGCCCAATCCAGTCAAATCTGATTGAATTTAAAGAAGGGCAGAACAGTATTGGAAAAATGGACTTCACTTGTTTAGTGTTTTTTCTAATTTCCTTAGTGCACAAGCACTTTACAATTTGCCTCTCATTCATCTATTCACACACATACACACACACACACACACACACACACATATGCGTGTGTGTGTAATTAAATGCACCAAAATCACTATGTGTAATAGCCTAGTCTTTAAAAAGTGCTTAGGAAAGTTTTATGTCACCGTTGCAAATGCATACACTGTGATATCGATGGTGAAGCAATATATTTTAAGCCCAATTTTAAATCTTGATCATTTTATTAAATCTGTTCCCTGATTGGAATAATGATTATGAAGGTTTGATTCAACAATGCGCCCCCTCTGTCTCCTGCCTTATTAAAGCAGAATTTTTGGTATTCAGTGGATGTTTCCCTTGCCTGAGGGAGACAATTTACTGGGTTATATCTACTTGCTTACCCACTCTGCTCTCTTTACTGGACACACTGCTCTACCCGATAGAGCTGTGTAGTAGATAGACACAACACTGAACAGGCAGCACTTCAAAGCCTCTGTCAGGGTCTCTGCATATGAATTATTGTCACATTGTAGGACTATCAACACACATGGCTTACGACATTAGAAAAATCTGTATAATGTTCATGGTTTGATCTTTCCTTAAGTGTATAATTGTCTCTCATGCTGTTATATGTTGCAGTGCCAGCGTGGCTTTTGTTTAAACAGATATTAACCATCAGCACCTCCACCCCAAAGAGCCTCTGTGGGAACACATCACAGAAAATGCACTTCTTTCACCACCATTTTTAGTCAAATTAATCATTCAGTTTCAACAAGATGGATGTACAGTAATTAAGACATGCGTAAACACGTGCACATTATGATGGCTCTGCTGCATATGACCCTTTACCCCTTGTTAAAATCCTTTGTTCTCATTCCTTCCATCCCTTCATTGGTCCTTGTGTAATTGTAATTAAAACATGTCAGTCCCTGTACTGTAGAGAGCCAATGGAAGACAACAGAGAGAACAGCTGGTTGGATCTCTGGTTCCCCCTGTTCCGACCATTACAATGAGTTATGCCACAATCTAATTCAATTAGTCTGAGAACAATGGCTTCGGATAATAACGCAGCTTTAACAGGAATCTATGTGCGTGTGTGTGTGTGTGTCATATTGTTTTAATGTTGACATGCCATACATGCCTTTATTATGAGGCAAGAGTTTTCACACAACAGGTCATTCATTTCCTGTCTCATTCATTCATTCATTCATTCATTGCATCCTTCATTCTGCTTCTCTGTAAATGGCCAGCCTATTACTGTGATGGTATCTGTGCAAGGCTGAAGTAGATGGCAGTGATGGCACTGTTCGATACACACTGGGTATACCATGAAAACACACACACACACACACACACACACACACACACACACACACACACACACACACACACACACACACACACAGACACTTTGTCTGAGGAGGGGAATGGGGTGCTACGTTATCTTGACTTACAGCTCAGGAGACCAGAGAATGGACTGTCCTCTGAATCATAAGGTCTGGATGTCAGAGATGAATGAATCATACCAAAAAGCCCTATAATGATATTTATCTTACTTTTCTATCTTATATAGTAAAGCTCCTTCTTCAGTAAATGCCCACCTTATTTTCACTACTGTCTTGTGTCTTGGCTGTCAGTTTCTTTGACCCTTTAGGGTTTTTCATGTTTTATGCAGTCAAATCAATAACTGTATAAAAGCTGCGGTGTGAAAATAGGATGCTTGCAGCGCTTCTTTGTGTGGCAATAAATTGCTCTACCATTTCTTTCAAAATGTGATATTTCCCAAAAAGTTAAGTAGCCTCCCATATTTACAACCTAACATATAAACCTCATCTGTAATGTGTTTTATTGGGCTCACATAAGGAGTCTTAACCCTTTTAAAGAGCAAGATAAGGATATGAGTGAACACTTTTAACTTCATAGGTTTTAGTTGATGCCAGGTTGTTGATCTCGCAATGGGTTTTGTCATTAGCCATCATCCCAGCCATGTCTCATTCAACCCAAAACCTAGAGACAACCTGACAATCTCATTATGCAGCACACTGAGATGAAATATGTTGTAGGTTACCTGTATTTTGCTGGTCATGCATCTGCTGCGGTAGTGATGTTTAGTTGTCAGTGCGCTTTGTTTGAATGAGCATATGCATGTCTGTATGCGTGCAGGTTTGGCTTTGTGCTATGGGGCTATTGGGCATTCAAACTTTACATTTATACAGATTGTTGATGGGCTTAAACTCATCCTGGTGTTTCTAGCTTGGGGCCTAGCCAGTCCCAGGCCAGATCATGTTTGTGTTTAAGTGGTCTAGGGTTGCTGGGCTGCTACTGTCAGAGTGGAAAGAGAGAACCATGCCTGTGATTTATTCAAAGAGAAAAACAAAACCACTACTCAAACTTTACTTTACAGTTATGTGATAGAAGACAGGAAGAATACCTCTCCGTATAGCCAGATGGCTAGATGGATGAAATTAATGTTTCACTCTCTTTCTTATTAAGTCAGAACAAGGCAACTATAAAGCCAGATGTTCATTGCAAAAAACACATCTGTCTGGTCTATACGCCCTGTGAGGGTTTTGTTCCCATGCTTCCTCCGGACCATATTGTTTCCCTCTCATGTAGCTCTTTGTGGCTTTGATTATAGGAGAATAAATCGAACAGTATGCCTGCTCACTGTTGCACCTTTTTCAGCTCTGCCAACAGACCTCTTACCACTTCCTAATGAATATTTTTGTGTCTGTGCGTGAGCCATCATACCTAATCTGCTTAATCACAGTGGCAACATGAATCACAGACACAAATCACCTCAACCACACCTTTCAGCCAGCACTTATTCTGCTGTTTTCTATTGTTTCCATGCCACTTTCTCACCCGCCATTTTGTCTGCTGTTGTTGACGAACATGATGAGAGGTTAGTTGACGGCTGCTAGCCTGTGTAACACAGTGCTGATTATTATTCTGCTGGCGTAAATGATGGAACAGCAGCTGTTATTACTGTTGTTGGTTCCCCTCGGAGTCTGTCCTCGCCTCCCTGCATACAATTACATTCTGATTTCTGTAATTTTCAGACAGTCTTACAAAAATATTGATGCCTTTTCTTTTAATGCTAAATGATGCTGTTCACCTTGCCTTTGGTCCAAGCTATTGGATCCAGGTGAATCCTTTCTTTGTGATTTCTTTGTGTTAT